GGTACAATGCCGTTTCCTGTTCTCGATCGTAATGAGGCGTCAACGAACAGACTTGTGATGGACGAGTTGAATTACGATCGTCGTGCACTATCGATTGAGAATGAGAAATTGGCTGCCAACATGACTGTTGAGCAGCGCAATGTTTATGACTCGATTATGGACTCAGTCTACGGTACCCACGACCGCATTTTTTTTGTTTATGGTTACGGTGGAACCGGTAAAACTTATATCTGGAGGGCGTTGTCTACTGGTTTGAGGTCAAAGGGCGAAATTGTGTTGAACGTTGCATCGAGTGGTATCGCGTCTCTTTTGCTTCCCGGCGGCCGGACAACGCATTCACGATTCAGAATTCTGTTAAACCCAACCGAAGAGTCGACATGTGACATTAGCCAACAGAGTCCATTGGCCGAACTGATTATACGATGTCGACTGATCATTTGGGACGAAGCCCCGATGATGAATAAGTATTGCTTCCAGGCTGTTGACAACACCTTACGAACCTTAATGCAAGTAGTGGATCCATCGAGGAAAAATCTCCCTTTTGGCGGCAAGTCTATTGTATTTGGTGGCGATTTCAGATAGATACTCCCTGTTGTGCATAAAGGCACTCGGAGTGACATAGTGAATGCGACCATCAATTCATCCAGCTTATGGCGGCAGTGTACCATTCTGAGACTTACTCAGAATATGAGGCTTCGAAGCCTTGGTGGGGATGCTGAGTACGATGAGTTGAGGCTTTTCTCGGATTGGCTTGCAAGCATTGGCGACGGTACTGCGGGTGGATTGAACGACGGATGTGCTGAAATTAACATTCCCGACGATATTCTTCTGAAATCACAAGGGGATTCTATCTCTTCTATTGTTGAGAGTACGTACGCAATGTTTAGGAGTTCGTGCGATGATCTTAGCTACCTGAAGGACAGAGCCATACTCGCTCCTACCGTTGATGTTGTTGAGTCTGTCAATGAATACATGAGCTCATTGAACTCCTCCGAGGGAAGAACTTATTTGAGTTCGGACACCGCTTGCAAGTCAGATGCTGGATATGACTATCTTCACGATCTTCATACTTCTGAATTTGTGAATGGGATTAAGTGCTCGGGACTTCCCAATCATAAATTGCACTTAAAGGTTGGCACTCCAGTGATGCTGCTCAGAAACATTAATCACTCTATGAGGTTGTGCAACGGTACTGTTACCTATGAAATTCGATATATTGTCTGTATTTTCTTTGATTTCTGTAAAAATTCGAGTGATATGTTTTTTGTTGTCCAAATTTTGAGTTCGACAGGTACTCGATTGGTTATTACTAAGCTCAACAGCGATGTCCTAGAATGCAGAATTTTAACCGGTGCCAGAGCTGGTGATAAGGTTCTTATTCCTAGGCTCACAATCATACCATCCGATTTGAGGGTACCGTTCAAGTTTCAGCGTAGACAGTTCTCTCTCATGGTTTCCTATGCTATGACAATCAATAAGAGTCAAGGGCAATCACTGTCGCACGTCGGCCTATTATTGAAGAGCCCTGTATTTAGTCATGGGCAATTATACGTGGTGCTTTCTAGAGTAACGGGTCAGAGTGGTTTAAAGATTCTGATTTGTGTTGATGGAGATGCCGACGATAAAAAAACCACGAACGTTGTATATAAAAAAGTGTTTAATAATATTTAATTTTTTCAATGATTATGTTATGATTTTTACTATTAAAACACAATACAATTATTTAACTTATAATTTTAATATTAAAACGCTTTTTTTCAATGATTATATTATGATTTTTACTATCGTTTATATTTTATATTATTTTTTTCTTTATCATATAGCTCTCCGTGCAAATGCACGGGTTGACACTAGTTTACTATAAATAGTAAGCAAAAAATTCGCCAAAATTAATTGCACGCCACTTTGAATTTTTTCTTTTGATTTTTTTACCATAGAATCGGGCAGCATTAAATGTTTCTTTAAATGGTGGGTTTTGTTCAATTCAGATTTGAAAATTGCGGCTGATGTTGAAGTGAATTTGAGATTTAAAAATTCATTTTCATTTTAGTTTCAACAGATAACATGTAAATCGCGTAACAACTTTTCTAAATAATTTTTTTTTTTTTTCAAAAACATTAAGTACATACTGAATTTTAGATATAAAATCCCATTTTATGTTGGTTTCAACATGGCGTAACAACTTTTTTAAATAATATTTTTTCAATATCTATTTAGTCAAACACATTAAGTACATACTAAATTTTAGATATAAAATTCCATCTTGTTTGTTATATAGGGTCCGGTTGGTAAATGGCTGGCGTTTTGATAAAAAAACGGCTGTTTGAACACTTTAGCGGATTTGACTTTAACAATCTGCTAAGTAGAGACGTTTGGTTAGCAGCTTTTTAGTTAGTTGTTTTTAGCAAAACCGCTAAAATATAAAACGCTACATTGAGGAGCGTTTGCATGTAGCTGTTGGAAGAAAATAATTATTATGTACTTAATTGCCACTTAATTCGGCCTGAGAAAAGGAAAAAGACCTACTGGAGTGATAAAGAATGGATTTATAGAGCAAAGTGTTATATTTGATAGAGGGGGCTTTAATAAAATATCAAGACTACAAATTGAAATTAAATAATAAATTATTCCTTCAGAAAAAAATAAAATAAAATAAATAAAAAAAACATAAATATTTGTTATAGAAAAGAGCAATATATAAAAAAAAAATGTTAAAGATAAATATTTGTTATTTGGATTATTTGTAATAGCAAATATTGTAATTGACTCACATTTACACTTTTAATTTGTGATGACTTGTTATTGGCCTTGTTTATATGACAATGATTTATCTACTTGATTGAGAAATATTTTTATTTTATTATTATTATTTATATTTTTATTATATTTAAATCACTTTAATAAATATCTAAAATACCAATTATTTCTATTTTCTAAATAATTATAAGTTCAACATAAATTAAAATGATAAAATATGTTGATGTCCTTATAAATAATTTTACATGTTAACAGCTAACTGAAATAGCTAATTTTACCAAACATTTTTTTATAAACCGCTAACACAGTCAGTTGGTCAAAACAACTCATACAATCCGCTGGTCAAAACAGCTAATGCAATCCGCTAACAGTTGATTACCAAACAAGACCATAATATTTCGATTTGCATTAATCTTGATTTATATTTGTAAGATTGATAATTCAAGCGTATGGATAAAGAGCGTAAGAAATCTCTGTTTAATTTTCTTACATTCTGATATTTTACATTTGGATATTGTGGTTATCATAGATGGACAGAAGGTCACATTTGTTTACTTGTAAATACACATAATTAGGATCACAACCTAGATGTAAATGAATGACCCATTGTGAACGGTTGTGGGGTAAATTTTACAGTCTGTTTTGACTGATTGGTTACACTAATACATTATGTATATTGAACGGATCCCAGAGTGGATAAGTTTGTTTTATACGGATCGAGTAAACAAACTGTTGTAGTGTGAGATGTTACTTTATGCTTTGTTAGGAGTAGATGTTTGGTTTTGAGACATTGCCTTCATGTTCCTTCGTTTAGTAGAAATTTTATTTCTGTTTCTAAACTTTTCATAAATGATTTTACTATTTCGTTCGATGACAAGGTTATTATTCGTAATGACAAGCGTTTCATTTTGTATATTCTTAAACCAATCAATCCCACACTGCAACTATCAAAACTGAATAACACATTGACCAAATCTAATAAGGGAAATGAACCTTAAAAAACGAATCAAGCATATCTCTGACACCTTAGGCTTGGATACATTAACCTTAGAAGGATTCAAAATTTGATCTCCATTGGACATCTTGGTCCATTGGAGGTAGATAACTACCCGACCTGCGCGGACGACTAAATGGCTAAGCGGCCGTTTACGACAAAAGGGCGTAGGTGCAAGAATGTGCTAAAACTGATTCATTCCGATTTATGCAGTCCTATGTCGATCCAGGTTAGCGAAGGTTTCGAGTACTTTGTCACGTTTATTGATAATTACTCGATACATGGATACGTCTACTTAATGCGCCGCAAGTCCAAATACTTTGAGAAAATCAAGGAGTACAGATAGTTGTGTAGAAGCGTCACGGTAAGAGTATAAAGCCACTTCGACGAGGTACCTGGAACCCCTACAAAACGGGGTGGCAAAACGGAGGAATAGATATAATTCTTAGAGCACCACAATGCTTTGTGTCTCTTGAAAAAATCACATGCCATGTAGGAAATAAACCTAGTCTATAAAAAAGTGTTTCATTATACAATTAAAAGTGGACTTAGTCTAGCTTATGTTGCAATAAAAAAAGAGACCAGGCCAACTCTTGGGTCTATTTTGACACAAGTGTGAACCTGTACAATCAACAATCATTTACTATTATTATATTTTAATTGGTTGTTAGGTACTCTAGACCTAGTACTTTTTTTTGCATTTGATAGATTTTGGATTTTTTAGCTTGAGTTTGTTGTCATTATAGACTTAAGTCTATTTATCCGCCACACATATAAAAAGAGGTGAAAATTATTATTTTCACCCCATTTTGAAGTCCTGCTAAGTTTTTCACACCGCCCAATAAAAAGCTAAGTTTTTCACCCCAGAAAGTGCGAAAGACATTGTGCGATGAATATGTGATAGTTGCGCGATGACATTGTGCGAAAGTTAGAAGTGCGAAGGCATTCGCATATCACTTCGCACTTTCTGGGGTGGAATAAATTAAAGTGCAAAGTCATTGCCCGATGAATATGCGACAGTTATGCAATTGATATGCGATAGTTATACAGTCCATTCGCATAATCTTCGCACTTTTCGGGATAAAAAAGTTAAATTGTTAGTGGACGATGTGAAAAACTTAATGTATCTTGGGTGAAAATTTTTTTTTCAGACCCTAAATATTATCGGTGCTCTTAAGAGAAGGATTGATGAGTTTTGTAGATCTACCATGCTCATTCGGTATGGAAGTATATCCTTAATTTTACTATTATTATTATTATTTTTTTATTTTTTTATAGAATTTTCTATAAAAAATATTACCGTGGTGTGCGCCTCACCCACAATGGCGCAAGTTCTCCGATTCGTCCACCCTCCGATAACTGGAACTCCATCTTTCCGGCAAATCAGTCAACTGCCTCCACCGGTGTACTTCTGTTCTTCCGGCGGTAAACTCAGCGCGACGCTGTTGTTCCGGAAACTCCGTCCCGTTTCTAGATTAAACAGAATCCCAGCAAACGCGGAGTCCCGCCAGGTTCCCGCCGTCTATTTATTATAATTTCAGTTACTGTCGATCGTCTCTGAGAGAGTGTTTCAAAGTTCTGTTATCCTCGAGTGTAGTTTTGTTCCGCGTCTTGAGCAGAAGTATATTGTTTGTGTGTCAGGGAAATGTTGATGGAGAAGACCCACTTCCACAACCTTCGGGCGCAAATTGGACCGAGCAATTAGCCGAGTTTGTGGCTAATAATTTTCTGCCGTTGGGTATGGTAGAGGTGCATACGTACTTTGTAACCCAGGCTACATGATAAGATTATTTAGGGAACGATCATCGAAATTGTGTATTGGCGAGTTGATATTGTGCTTTAATCCAGTTACTCTACTTATTCTTGAAGTGTTGCAAGCTTACTATAGTTTTGTTGGTACATAAATCCTCAGAATGTTACCATATGGTGCTTGCAGCTCTTGTCTCTGGAGTATTGTTAGGGCTCGCAAATCCTAGCCTTGGTTGTCTTGCTGATACATACTACCTATCAAAGTTTAGCACTTTTGGGATATTTATAATTTCAGGTTTCTTTTTTCCTTGAATTTGTTTACTCTAATTTTTTTTGTCTCAAAGATGGTAGCTTGAAACTTGGATTGCCCTGAACTCTGATGAAGTTTGGTTTCTATTTAATATGCAGGCTTGACATTGCGTAGTGATGAAATTGGTGCTGCTGCTGAAGCATGGCCAGTTGGATTATTTGGGCTGGTAGAGTTCTTGTTCACTATCTATCTTTTCCTTTATATAATTTGTACTTGCATTTCATTTGTGGGCAGTGCGGCTTGAAACTGTATATGTTTAACTCGCAGAATTATTTCAAAATGTGCTCATTTAAAAGTTCTTTTCTGAAGAATCTCCACATGATGTGTCATAATATTGTGTTGTGCATGGAGGTTAGCTCTACTGGAAGCACGACTTAGATTCTGTGGCATTTCATATATCAGAGTCTGTTTTCAGCTTTCTTAAAGAAATTATTTTTATATGAATCCTATGCTACAAATTCATTGTCTTTATAAAGTAGCATGCTATTGAAGATTTTACTGTGTGTATATATACCGTGAATGCATATTTCTCCTGATTTAGGCATATTAGAACACTCTTTGTAGGTTATTTTTTCTTCTTTTTGGTTGATGTTGTAACATTGTCTTTTCCATTTATATATATGCAGCCCTTTTTAGCTGCAGTAGACACAGAAATTGTCCTCTCTTTCGTACTTTACATATGCCATGGTTATCGCAAGTTCTTTTTGAAGAGTGACTTGCTGCATGCATTTCAGTGCAGGCATCAATTTTATTTATCACTCCCTTGTTCTCAAGAATCATTTTGCTGTTGAAGCTCCAGCCACAAGAATTTGTTACAGGTTCGGAAATGGTTCTTTGATACCGCAACTGATATTTGCCTAGAGTTAGTTTCTTTCTCCGTTTTTTTATTTCCTGGACCAAAGTGAGAGGATTTCAGGTGGATCAAAGTGTCCTTTCGGAGGTTAAAAATTCTGCAAGTGCCGTATTGTTCCAATGATGACTATATACTTCTGTGATGTTTGATGAATGTATGAATTAATCTTTGATTTCTTTTTGCTGTTTCTCGAACCTTTTTTTTTTGTTGTTTTTTTTTGCTTATGTGAACTGATAGTATGTTTTCTTTTTCTTGCCTCTACATCTTTACAGTTAAATGGCTTCTTTCAGTCTCTTCTGTCTGTTGTGTATAAATACTGAGTATATACCACAAGCCTTTCACCTTTGCAAGAATGTAGATTGAGATGACCTGGGTTTGAATCTTGCACCTGTCAAATTTTATAATTTCATTCCTTCCCCTTCACCACTGCCCCCAGATCATTAAAAAAAAAAAATAAAGAAAGAAAAGAAAAAAAGCTGGATTTTGTGTTAAAAGCTCATGCCAAATAATCTGTGCAGAAGAAATACATACATTATTAGCCTATAATATTCAAGGAATTTCTGTCAATGACAGGATTACTTTATAGACAATGATTTTTATCTTTTTATTTTCTTTTCTTTTTTACCCTTAGCA